GGCAAAACAGAAATTGTTATTAAGATGATTCATATCCGGTGTATCCATTTTAAGTGTCGTTGGATTTATTGGTACAGCTGAAGGAACAACTGGCAAGCCGTTGTTATGTCATGGCTGCAGTTTGGCTGTCCGTGAACAGTAATATTTGCTCGGAGGCAACCTCTCCGTTCAGCGGTATAAAGTTTTGTAGTCATCTTCGCGGGGGGCAAATATAATTTTTGAGGAACCTTCACTAAAGTCGTTAAACAGTGATCACTAGCCTTCTTGGGTGCGTTGGAAGAGTTGCTGGCTACTAAGGCTGTAAGTTACGCGAGGGTTGCCGTTGTGAGGTGCGTTATTTCTAAATACAAGCTTTGTGCTCTCGGATCTGCACTGAAGAGTTGCTGTAGGGAAAAAGCGCAGAGGGAAGGAGCATCTGCTTGTGGCTTTAATTAAGGAGGCCGAGGGAGCTAAATAGGTCGTGTCTTGCATAGCTGGTAGATGCACGTAAGTATTACGCTAGTAAATGGGATTAAGCCAGGTAAACTTAGTTCGAGCTTTCTGTATTTGTATGCTGATGGAGAATCTGTTGTGTTAGGAAATTGGTATGGTGGGACTTGAAGGTTCCGAAGCGTGGAAAAATTTGGCGTTAACTTCAGAGAGAGAGAGACGGCTGAATTCATAAGTGAAAACTGGAAGGTTTCTTTACGTTCCAGTAAGCAATGTGCTGGTTTTTTCAGCCTCACTTCCAGAACTTAGCGCTGCCGTAGTTTTCTAGCATTCTTGACTTAATGTGTGCAACGGAGACCGAGAGTACTCAGTATTTCATTTCAGACGATTAAACGGAACAGAGCACTAGGACTGAAACTACGGTAATTTGAAGGACAGAAACTGACGACATAGTGTATAATGAACGAGGCGAGTCTTCGTAATGCCACCCTATTTACTGTTCGGTGAAGACTGCCTGCGACCTACGTTAATTGCGGTGGTACAGTGAAACTCGAAGAAACCGAATTATTTTGGTGTTGGCTCATTGCCAAGAGGCTTCACTGCAGCTCCAGTGATTCACACGATCTATTTTAACGCTTCAAATTTTTTGCTTCTTAGCATTTTCCTCTGTGGCAGTGAACATTCGGTTGTACGTTTTTTCATTCCTTTTCCGATTTTATTTCTTTAACTGTTCTTTGTTAGTTGACTAATTGTTTGGTTAGTGGGAGTGTTATTGATGGAGTAGCAGATCGTTTAAGTTAATTGAAGCTAAGATTTCTAACAGTTAGGTTTCTAACAGTTTGATATTATGGTCAGCCCAAGATGTCCTTTGTGATCACCAGATCTGCCGAACGGATTTCGTTGACCGCGGACTGTTACAAATTCTGCACCTATCTTTCTTTCTTTACAACGTCTGGAATTTTTTTTGCTTCAGCTTCAGGGTTATTAATTTAGTCAATGACAACGTTCCCAGTACAACAGTGGAATTTGGGAGTTGGCCCAATTATATGTCATGCTTGGAACGGCGATCGTACACGTTAGTTATTTGTGAAATAATCATTTTTCGGTCTTTTGCTTTTGTGTCTAATGAAATGAATTTAGCTCGTTATATTGTTTTAAGCCAGCTGAGAAAGTTAACTTGTAAATAAATTCTGGGTAATTTTTTCGTAATGCTTCATACAGGTTGAGATGAAATTTTTTTTTGAAGGCTTGTATTGTAGAATTAGCGGTATCACCGTCGACCAGTGTTATACTCATATTCCAGTGGGAAAAAACACAGTGGAAATTGATCCACACTCTGACTGAACATGATCTTCCCGTGACAGGTTTAGACTGGTCGCCAAAGTCAAACCGGATCGTCTCCTGCTCACAGGTTTCCCGCTGTTATGAAAACCTTACTGTGTTATCATGTGAGTATCCAGAGATTTTGTTTATTCTAAGGTTGAGTTCATGTTAAGGACAAGAATGCATTCGTTTGGACAGCAGATGGAGATAAATGGAAACCAGAGCTTGTACTGGTACGCATAAATAGAGCCGCCACAGCTGTAAAATGGTCCCCAGTGGGTGCGCAATTTTGCCATTTTATAGACTTTATAAAGGTTGCTATCGTGCTGTAGTGATTTATATTTAAGGGTTTTTTCAGAAAACAAATTTGCTGTCGCCAGTGGGGCAAAGCTGGTTTCTGTCTGTTATTATGAAAAAGAAAACGATTGGTGGGTTTCGAAACAGATTAAAAAGCCAATCAAATCGACAGTTACCTGTATTGATTGGCATCCAAACAATGTAGTACTCGGTGTTGGTGCTTGCGACTTCAAGGTTTCCATTTTCTTTCTTCCAAATGTGGAAACTTCTGTTAAGGTCTTTTATGAGATCTTGAATTTCTTTAATCGAGGCGCTTTAAAAGCTTTCCCTATGGCGTAGAATTGCGTGTACTTTGCTTCGTAAGGTTCCAATTGTGCTGCTTACCAGTCGTTTTAGGTACGTGTTTTTTCTGCCTACGTCAAAGAAGTTGACGAAAAACCTAGCCCAAATCCATGGGGAAACAAGTTACCTTTTGGTGCACTGCTTGCTGAGGTAAGTGATTCTCTATGCGATGTCATTTCGACTTTATTGCAAACATTTTTTATAATATGTGAACCACCTTTTTCTCAGGTGTCTAGTAGTGGCTGGATACATAGTGTAGCCTTCTCTCCTTCTGGCGCTCGTCTTGGGTTTGTGTCTCATGACTCAGCCATTGCTCTTATTGATAGCAACAAGTCGTTGAAGGATGCAGTGCAATTGAAAACCAAATTTTTGCCGTTCACTTGTGTTAAATGGGTTACAGAGAATTCCCTTATTGCAGGAGTACGTTGCTCTGTATTTTCTACCACTGTGTGTAGATATACCTGTGGGTCACTACCAATTTTTTTCTTTTAACATCTGTAAAAATTAATTGAGATGGAACGAGTATTTTAGCTACCATTTTTAGGGCCATGATTGTTCACCAATGTTATTCACTTACCTAAAGGACGAACTTAAATTTGTCACGAAGTTGGATGTTCCTTCGGGTCAAAAAGCGGACAGTCAGAAGAGTGCTATGCAGAAATTTAAAAATATAGACCGAACTGCCGCTTCAGAATCTGTCAATGTTCAGTTGCCTACTCTACATCAGAATGCTATCACGTAACTATATATTTTTTGTAATTTCATTCTTCTCAAAATCTATCTGGAATTGTTGAAGGCTTGTCAGAAGTAACTTTATGTGGTTCTGGAAGTAGGCAACATATAGTTTCTTTCCAATTTAAATTAAATAATGAATTATTTTAGTGAGATATTACCTCATTCTGGGAAACCCGATAATGTACAGAAGTTTACAACGTGTGGAATTGATGGCTTGGTAGCTTTATGGGATCTCAAGGTATGTTAAGTTTCATTAATTATATAAATCATTAGTATACTGAAACAGCAGTAAGGGAGTAGTTTTATTGGTATTAATTAGGACGTTTTCTAATTTGTTGTTACCTGTTTTCTTATGTTTTCTGCTAACTATTTCAATCTTAAGTTCAAATTTTTTGAGCCGCTGGGAGTGCATAAATTAAGAAGCTCAGTTTTTTTCCTTCTAAAAATTGCTAAAATATAGTGTACTTCAACTTGTTTTTTTTTCTTTTTGTTAAATTTTTTTAAACTGGTCGTTCACGTGAAATTAGAGAATTAAATTATTCGTTTTAGAATTGATTAGTCGTTTCCTTCCAAAAATTGCTAAGATATAGTGTACTTTAACTTGTTTTTTTTTTACTTTTTGTTATATTTTTTAAAATGGTCGCTCATGTGAAGTTAGAAAGTTAAATTATTTGTTTTAGAATTGATTAGTCGTTCATCGTGTGCATCTTAAAGTTTTTCGTTTATTTGTTTCAGGCAGCAATCGCTTATTGCAGGGTAATAAGTTTTCGTTAGGGTGAAAGTTGTTATGTTAACCAGTTACTGAATTTTTTCTGAATGATCGATACTTAAATGTAGTTTTGTGGTTTCTTAATCTAGACGGAGTTGTAAATTAGCCAAATAGAGTCTGTCATGTTTTATCCTTACTTCTGCATGACCTTTGATTTAAAGTAACCTCTTATTGTACATATAACTACTGGATTTTTTCATATTTCCAGTCATTGCTTGCGAACGTGTGTGGCATGAGGCCTTGGCTGAATTCCTTATTAAGTGAGCAGAAACTGACAAGCTTTCTCCTCAGTTTAAGCTTGTCTTGAAAGATTCAGTGTAGTAACGGTTTGACTAACGTGACTGTGCATGAGTAATTAGACTTCCAAAATCTTGTTTCAGGTTATCTTTCAATTACCTTCTTTTTCAGGGTGCGGTGAAGGAATGATGCAAAAAGAACGAGATCTCGCGAAGTTTGCAGTCCACGCATTAAAATTTTGTAATTTTTTCTTTGGTAGGCACTTTTTCTTTTGCTGGAGAAGAATGTTAATTCGAGTGTTCCGGACCAGTAATTTGAAACCAGCCCTCGGGCTTCGAGTATCTTTCGTGTTCCGGAAAACAGTCGCGAACCCAGTCCTTTGCCTTTGTTGGAGCTTTATTTTCAGTTAAATGATTTTGCGTTTTATTTAACAGTGTTGAGTGAAAGTGGCTCTGACTCTTTGTCGTGCTAGTTTAAAGATTTCAGTTAAAATTTTTTTTTATGGTCTCACTTCAGAATACACAAAGTCCCTTATAGCTAGCACGACTTCTAGGCTTGCCTCTTGTTAAGGTAAATGTGATTTGGCATCCTGACTCTATTATTTATGTAGTTATAGAGGGTAAGGCTGACGCCACCACAGTTTCCATTCCATCTTAAGCTCTATCCTTCTTCCTTCTTTACTGTTTTGAAATGCTCAGCGTCCTGTGGGACAAGACTTTTTGTGTAATTACTGTAAACGCAATTTGTATTAATTTGTTATTACACAATGTTTATTGAACACTAACTGTTCATCTATGTAGTACTGTTGTTTGACAATGTCACACGAACACGGGGCAAAAATTCCAAGTTGCTGTTTACTGTTGAGACGACCATTTCATTTTCTACAAGGTGCACCACTCGTGAGCAGCAGTACCTTCAAAGTTCCCCCGTAAACAACACTTTCCACTAATCGAATAATTCGTCTCTAGTCCTAGTCTTGAACTAGATGTTGGCCTCTGTAGTGGGTATTGGGAAACCAAGTGTACGGTACTTGAGGGCAAAAAAGAGTGAGACGTTGTAATATATGCTTCAAAAGAAAAAGCTGGGGACAGGTACATACAAAGCACTCCACAAAGGTCATTAGTTTAACAGTCATGTTGCATGCTCGTCGAGTTGCTTTACTGTGGAGGCAGTTTTGTCTCCTGTAAGATCGTGCTAATTTTGTAGTTTCATAGTAAACACCTACGAGTGAAAAGAGGACAGTGACGCAATTGCTGCAGAAGGTAGGTGAGGCGTCAACGATCGTGTGTTTTCTGATTAGCGTTTGCGGCATCTGATGAATGGGAAAGATCTCGTGCTTGAAATTCATAAGATTCTGGCGCTTGGGGTTCAGAGCATGTCTTAAGTCATTTACAATTATTGAGCCGCAATATGTTCTTCGTGCATGGTTTTTAACTTCTGGATGATTTGTTCTTCTATTTCCACACCACTTGCGATTTGGTCCTTATTCAGTCGAATGTATTCTTGGCTTCCCTTCGTAACAAAAATAACCCACTCTTTCCTTTTGTCAAGCAAATTTGCAATGACAAGCTGCAAAAAGGTGGCACTTGAAGACTCCGTTTTAGCAGGGTATGACAAAGACCGAATCATCTATAGTAAATCAACTATTGTCACCAACTTACTTTGTGGCCATACCTTTCCAAAGCATCAATAGACTTCTTCACTAGTAGTTTCTCATCCGTTTCCAACTAAAAAAGGTAAATAAATTAGGGTGGGTAATACTAATTTTACTAATTTTTATACGGATAGAAACCCCCTAGAAATTTTGAGTCACTTGAAGACCTTTGATCGTTTTGCCATTTCTACAGCTGACTAAATATTTGGTGCCAAGTGTTATTTTAAGGGTAGCTTAATGCAGACTCACCTTAAAAGAAACCACGAATGCTTCTGGCACCAAGTCGCATACCAAGTTCTTTATAATTTTCGGCACAACATCTAATGAAAGTTTCAGGTTTTGGTTCGACGCTATTTTGTGTACTGGCTAAAATAAAATGTGACAGTGTTACCCCTTCCATAAACTCAGGCACTTCAGGAACACTTGTTTTGAAAGCCTAGGAACTAGTTTGAGAAAGAAGCTGCATATTATTATTTTCAAAAACTGCTTACAAGATTTTCGCTGGAAATGTAAAAATCTGATACTGCTGCTGCTAAGTAGACGAGGACAGACCTTCCATAAGGCGAAAGTAATGAACATAATTGTTTAAGTGTTTCCAGGTAATAAAGAATATTTTGAAAGGGTATCATTAAAAGGCGACTTTCAAAAGTATTATATTTTTTAACTGCATCAACCAAGCCAGGCATGCTTTTTACTGAAAATATTAAGATTTATGCAACGAGGAGTGAAGAATTGAGAAGGGCATTAAAAACAACCATTAACTGTTCCGCTGGCATCAACTTCAAGTTTTTCAAACAAATTTCCAAATTTTCTGCTGTATGGCTTCAGTGATTCTGTCCGATGGAAGAACAGAACAGCGTAGCCGTTTTCCAGTAGTTGTCTAAAACCAGTAAATAAAAATACCATAGATTACATTTCAAGTATCAAAGTGTATTAAAAATTTCTGTACTTACTCTGTGCTAGCGGCGCCCCTTGTACCCATCGAGAAATTGTCAATGAAACGAACAACATGCTTCTCAAGCGGTACCTTCGTTCCACCGCTCTAAATTTTATTTGTTAATCATCAAACAAAGGGGTTTTAAATTAAAGTTGGTAACTTAATTCTAATGGCAGCTACTACCTAAAACATTGCGACTATTAAACACCGATGATTCTGAGTGGTTGCCTGAAGTACGATGGCAAATAACAGTTCAAGACTGCCTTAAGAAAACCAACCGTTACTAGAGCAATCTTTCGGTCCTTATTGCGCTCCAAAAACTCCTTTACCTCTTCGACGTTGAAGACCATTGTATCTTTCTGTATCAAGCCTATAAAACAGCGGATAAAAATACAATTGGTGAGCACGTTGACTTCATGCAGCACAGAGCGTTATGGTAGAGGACAATATCTATTTTACAAAGTCCCGCTGACGGTATAATAATGCGTGAATTTTAAGCATTCTTTACATTATTACAGTTTAAAAAGTACGCGCAACAAGTGTTCGAGAACTTCTCAAAGTTCATACTACACGTACAGTCGTCTGTAAACGCCAAGAGTTTTGTAATTTAATGACGACCCAAATACGCGACGCATTTGCTGGCGGGCGGAACTACGCTTCTGATGATAATTTAGCCGTATTTGACACGTATCCGTCGACAAAGTCAATGAAAAAAATAAAAAATGCTAAAGTATTAAGGAATTACCTATCCTACTGGGGTGAAAGTTGGCATAACCCTTGACTGCAGATACAAAATCAATAGAAATAAACTACAGTTGCTTTCTATACATATTGCTACACGATCCTACAGTTTGAGCCTGCATTCGTACTAACAAATACCAGCCGAGGTGACCTTTAAATGAAGGTACTCCACTTTTTATGACTGCTCATGAAAATGTAATTTGTAGCAGTTAAAACTTTCGGAAGTAATGCCTGTATCAACTGGAATGCTTTAAATGACAACGAACGATTTCTTAAAAAGTGACTTCAAAACGGCATAGAAGCGGAAGAAAGAAAAAAACGAATTAGATTTAGCTTTTGCAACAAATTTGAAACACCGGTTAGTGATAATAGTTATTAAACAATGAAACGTTTTAAATTTGCCTTGTTGTCAAAGGAAAAAATTAAATTGTCGGGACATCTTTAAAGCTAGAATCATTCATAAAACTGAGCACTCTTCGGCAAAGAAAACTGGACGGATGCTTGCCTTGCACAAATGACTGTGGCAAGGACATTGCTTCTATATGGCTGTTTTTTTCATTGGTTTTACTAAAGGTAAAATACGGAAAGGTGCAATAAAATAAATTTAAAACCTAACATTAAATGTCAGTTCTAAAAGTGCCATAAAGTTGGTGCATAATTTTACCTGATAGAATAATACGAAGCTGCAGATAAAAGAGTGAAAAAGGGTTCTATTAAAAATAAGACAAGAGAAGGCGCAATAAAATAAGTTTCAATTCTAAAACTACCTCAAATTTGATACATAATTTTATCTGTTTGTTGGCAGTATAATACTGTAGTTTATAATCACCTGACAGCAATATGGAACAATTAATTGCTACAACTGTCTTCAGCTTGTTACTTCATATCCAACATCAAAAGTGACGATTGAAATTACAAATTCAGCAAAATGAGGAAGAGTAGAAAAGTAATCAAAACCACTTTTGTCAAAACGATCAATTCAACAGAATTTATTTTGAATTCAACAAAATTCAAAATAAAAGTGCTGGTACAATAATACTGGTGAAGAAAAAATGAACAATATTAAGCCGTAAACAAGAAATCAAAATCTAACAGAAAAACAAGTGAATTTATCGAATAAACTTGCTATTCAAAAGAAGAAAACTATCGTTATTTTTTGTCAACTTATTTATGAAAATCCTTGAGTTTGGAAAAAGAAAATTTACGGAAAAGATGACGATGTACGACTGAAGTCCAAAAGTTTGTTTTCGTCATTTATTGTTGCTGCACATGAAAAAAAGCAGATGCTACAATCAAAAATTTGATTTGCAGCAAAGGATAACGACTATCTGACGATTCTCAAAGATCTCACAAGATCTATACCAAGCTGTGATCACCATGAGTTTCTCAGATAATAAGTTTTTGCGGTTTAGTTTAGTGCGCTCGTCCTAAGTTTCGACCGTGTTTTTTGGACGATCGTGGAGGTGAATGACCATTAGATTAGTTTCGCATTCTTAATTCCATATTTATTCCAACTTGTATAGAGGAAGGCTTGAAGAAAGTTAGCAAAACAATACATTTTTACAACAGTGATCTTTAGGATCGTATTTCAGACCTGTTGTCGTGAAAAAACTCACTTGCATACTTTACTTTTAAATACTGAAAAAAACAATCCTTATTAAACTCTTTATAAAACACTCCTAATAAACCGAAACCTTAACACTGGCAGGTACCAGAAGTTAAACACCTATTTGTCAAAATTTTTCTGACGCGTGAAGTCGTAATAATTCAAAATGTAGCGTAGTGCTTATGGTGCTACGCCTAATCAAAGATCCATAAGAAATGGAGAAAAGTATTTGGCACACGACTACGTCTCACCAATAATAATCAAATATAACTTCAAACAAGGGAGTCTCTGGTTGGCCTGAAAAGTTGCCCGATGAATCTATATGAGAAAGAAAGTACTCTTACCCTACTGTGACTCTAATTGAGCTTATTTTTCAAATGACACTTCTGGACTGTCCTTCAGCAAAACTACTTTCATTGACTTTATTTTTTTGTTTTGCTTGAAGAATCAGCGATAAAAACAATATTGCAGTATGCAGAACTGTTCAGTAGAAAAAAACTGTTTTTCATCACTTTTACAAATACCTACGAACTCTGCAGTCACCCTTAAATTAATTTTGATAAAATGTGACACCCCTAGAAAGAAAAAGAAGTAAAAAAGTAAAAAGAAAGTTCAACTGGTAAACTTCTGCATCATTACACTTGATTATCTATTTGCGGTTTCCGAAAGCTTTTTTTTTTTTTGTATGTTCCAACAACCACTATAAACATACGACAGATTTAAGACTGTTAATATACATATATATACGTCTGAAAAAAAAAAGACTAATCAGTTCACTTTCCACTCTTCATTGGGTACAATAAATAAATAAAAAATTGTCAACTTGGTAAAACTTTTCATACAGGTATTAAAATCACCAAGTGAATGACATCTGACAGCACTTATGACTTTAAAAGCCAAAACTGAAATAATGATAACAAACAGGAAAATCAATTGTGATTTATAGCAAAACAATGCTGCTGATATCACAGATCCATAAAGCACATACGATTAAGTGAGAGCCAAAAAAATAATAATAATAATACAATAATAATATAATAATAAAGTAACTGAATAAATCATATAACAATTGCTTTTTAAAAACACAACGTTTCCTTTTTAATGTAAAACGTCTAATTTTTTCTGCCCATATATGATGAATACATTTTCGAGATAAATTAGCTAAATCTAGCTTTTAAGCTCATTGAAATTTTAAAACTTCTCTAAAAGTTACCTCGAATTCAATCTTGAAGAATTGGTTGAAAAAATAAAAAGAAAAAAAAAACAAAAAAGGACAGAAAATATGCGGAATTAATTGCCCGTCCAAGTGACCATAATTCAGATGTAATTATGTATTAAAAAAAAAAACTTCCGGTCACCAACGTCCAATACAACCAAAATAGAATGCTATGCTAATCACCTTCATCACTGACTAAATTATCAATATTTTGCATTAACTGAAAAAATGCTAGTTCATTGTATAAAATTTCTGAAACATCCGTAACAAGCAATTGTCGAGACTGTCCAATTTTTTCACCATAATATGGAGATAACGTATTGTCAATAATTGTACTTAACTGATTCTCATATGTTGCTCTTGGAGCATCTTTAAAACATACTTTTGTTGTCGTTTCCATAATCTGAAAAAAAATTTGAACTCTAATGAACAACGAAATAACTCATAGTTAGCGATTACAACAATCTTTTTGTCATTTAACAGTTGTCACTAACCAAAAATATACTTAAATCATAAAAAATTTTATCCTTTTTTTGAATGCTCTTACTTGGTCACGTAACTGTTGCATAAGACTTTCTGATGCGGTATCCTCCATATGTTCCTTTATCCATTGCACTACAGCCGATATGATGGTACAAATATTTTTCTCCAGTTCTAAAATTATAATCTAAAACAATGATACTCCAAAAGAATACGATATTTTGTTACTTTTCACAGCGTCATCAACAACTCTACTGTAATCATACAGTTCACTGCCTTCAACTGAAAAATTATCACCTTCTAGATCTTCTTCGTTACCGGCCGAGTCTGCATTTCCTTCATCTGTTACATAACGAATTTTCTCTAAAGTTCTCTGCTTTTGCAGTTTACCTTTTCCACTATTTAAGCGTTGTTTGGCCAACTCAGCTTTCTAAAAACTATCGACATTTACCGTCTGTAATGTTGCTAACAAACGAAAACGACAACGAGAACAACAACGATAACACCCAAAACAGATACGTTTATGACGCTGACGGTGGACAAAATACGGTTCAACGTCGTACACAAAAATTTTTAATTAATTTACGTTTCAAATATTTTCCATCCGAATGATTTGATTGTTGGCATACCATTGTTTGTGATGTATTTTCTTTTGATTTTTCCTCATTTTCTTCGGCACATGTATTATCTACAGGCGTTTCAGTAGTTGCCGATGGAGATTCGACAGTGGTATTACTCGCTAATGCCTTAGTTTCAGACTCTACGGTCGCAGAATTACCCTTCAGAGACTGAAAACTTTTCTACAATATTCACAACAAACAAAAAGAAAAAAAAAAAGAGCAACAAGGCAGTGTTAAAAAAATTTTTATCGTCACATATAACAAAAAAACAAACAAACAAAAAAAAAAAATACAACTGAAAAATACCATGCATCAACCTGGGCACAATCTCTTGCATACAGAATGCCATACTGAACAAACTTATACAGTGGTGGTAAAAACTCAGAAGTAAAAAAGTTGCTTTGACCAGACTAGGATATTTGCTCAACAGAGATTTAAATTTATAACATCTTTAATTCTGTTAATTTGCCAAAACTTTTAACCAGCAAAATCTCTGCTTGTAAACTTATGCTAAAAATCTTCTTTTTTCATCCAAATAAAATAATTTTGACTTCAAAAATTATCGTATAAATTTTGTACCGTAAATATTTGTAAACTAATCTAAATTTTCTTTTTCTCATTTCTCTTAACAACTATATCATTTAACAGCAGTTTAACAGTGTCAAATAAAAGTAACTATTAACTGCCTGCTTTCAAAATGAATTAATCAAACATTACCGTATCACTGACCTCAATTTCAGCAAATTTTTAAACACTCTTAAGGTTAACAATTTTATATGTCCCAAAATTGGTCAATTAATTGTTTACAACAAAACATTTGTAGCATGAGGAGTACTAATGGTAGTGAAGTTTTTTTGTCACCACTGTTAATACATAATCCATTTGTTATTGTCACAAAATGCTAATACATGCTTTGGGAAGCATCAAACAACCAAAGAAAGAAAACAAAACAAAACAAAACAAAACAAAAAAAAGTTCATGGAATCAGAAACAGAACAAGAAAAAAAAAAAAA